CGAGTCTCTCCCTCGGTGGATCGAAATGTCGAACGCAAGTGGGAGGGCTGGACCACTCGCAACGGCCCTCGCTACTCGCTCCTGCACTCGCCCCTCGCCCACGCGCTTTTGCAACACATTACACGTTCTCTCTCTCTCTCTCTCTTCTCTCTCTCTCTCTCTCTCTCTCCCTCTCTCTCTTCTCTCTCTCTCATTCTCTCCCCTCCCCTCTCTCTCTCTCTTATTCTCTCCCTCTCCTCTCCCCTCTCCCTCTCCCTCTCCTTCTCTTTCTCTTTCTCTTTCTCTTTCTCTTTCTCTTTCTCTTTCTCTTTCTCTTTCTCTTTTTCTTTTTCTTTTTCTTTTCTTTTTCTTTTTCTTTTTCTTTTTCTTCTCCTCTTCTCTCTCTCTCTCTCTCTCTCTCTCTCTCTCCTCTCTCTCTCGCTCTCTCTCTCTCCCTCTCCCTCTCCCTCTCCCTCTCCTCTCCCTCTCCCTCTTCCCTCTCCCTCCCTCTCTCTCTCTCTTTCTCTCTCTCTCTCTCCTCTCTTCTCCCTCTCCCTCTCCTCTCTCTCTCTCTCTCCCTCTCCCCTCTCCCTCTCCCTCTCCCTCTCCCTTCTCTTCCTCTCCCTCTCCCTCTCCCTCTCTCTCCTCTCTCTCTCTCTCCCCCTCTCTCTCTCTCTCCCTCTCTCTCTCTCTCTCTCTCTCTCTCTCTCTCTCTCTCTCTCTCTCTCTCTCTCTCTCTCTCTCTCTCTCTCTCTCTTCCTTCCCTCCCTTCCTCCTTCCCTCCCTTCCTTCCTCCCTGCCCTCCTCCCTCCCTTCCTTCCTCCTTCCCTCCCTTCCTTCCCTCCTTCCCTCCCTTCCTCCTCCTTCCTCCTTCCTTCCTTCCTTCCCTCCCCTTCCTCCTCCCTCCCTCCCTTCCTTCCTCCCTCCCTTCCTTCCTCTCCTTCCTCCCTTCCTTCCTCCCTCCTTCCCTCCTTCCTTCCTCCTCCCTCCCTCCCTCCTCCCTCCTTCCTTCCTCCTTCCCTCCCTCCCTTCCTCCTTCCTCCCTCCCTTCCTCCCCCCTCTCTCCCTCCCTCCTCTCCCTCTCCCCCTTTCCCCCTTCTCCTTCACAATCTACCCATCTATCTCTCGCAACCTCCCCTTAGCCACTCGCGTCCGCCACTCGCCCTCTTAACCATGCCTTCCCCTCTGCCTGGGCCTCTTCCAAGCAATCCCGTTGATAAAACTCACTCTTTGGCGTTTTCTGTTGCCTGGCGTCAGAGTGGTGTCGGAGGAGCAAGAAGGAACTTGTGTAAAATAACGTCTAATTGTACTTTGCAATTCTGATTCCTGATTGTGCTTTTCATCGGTAATATTTTTAACCTTTTTAATCATCTGAATTGTCACTGTCACCGTGATTAACATTTATTTTCATACTCAGCGAGGTTCTTTTTATAGTATCTATCCTTATTACAATAATCAGAGTTGATGTAATTTACAATTGCCATCGGCTTTATTATTATTCCTGATATTTACATCTTTATTGGCGGTTTTAATAATTGTTCTTGCAGTGATTATTGTTGCAGGCGAAATCAAGATGAAAGGATTTAGCTTCGATCCATTTTCATAATACGTTATCGAGGACATTGCAGATATTTAGATCGCCATTACGTCAATTTTCTAATTCATCCGCGCTACAACAATGAAATATAAACAAAAGGCAAAGAAAAAAACGGGTAAAAGAAAGACCCAAGATTAAGACAAAAAAAATTTAAGATAAAAAATACCAGCCTGCAAAATTAAAATGAGAGCATCAAAATCAAAGACTGCAAAACTGAAAGCAAAAGAAAAACAAAAAGCAAATGCACACAGACAACAAAACAAAAAATAAATCAAAGTTGATAACAGTGACAACAAACATACAAAAATAGCAAAACTAAACACACGAAAACAAAAAATACAAACAAAAACAGTAAAAACAAAACGAAAACAGCAAAAACAAAATACAGAAACACAGCTAAATCAATACACAAAAAAAAAACGAAAACAGAATACAGCAAAATCAAACCCAAAAACACAGCAAGAAAAAACAAACTGCCAAAAACAAAATACACAAACACAGCTAAATCAATACACACAAAATAAAACGAAAACAAAGTACACAAACAGCAAAATCAAACCCAAAAACACAGCATAAAAACAAACAAAATGCAAAAATAAAACACATCACTAAACGAAAAACCACAAACACCGCCTAAAAGAACGACAAACCCCGGCCTAAGAAAAACGAAAACAGCCAACCTCTCAGAATCCTCCGTCAGCCAATGCTCTGCAGCGCATTTCCCACTTGCTCAATTACCCCCGAACGCAGGTCATCAGCAGCCGCTCAAGTGTGTCACATAGCACGCATTTCCCTCCCAGTATATCGTCCAAATAGGCTGTTTCCCATGATGAAGGCAACGGAATGGGCGCTATGCAAATGGAAGACTTCGTGACGGGGTATTGGCTCCGGGGGCTCTGCTTCTAGGGGGAGGAGGGCGACAAG